AAAGAGAATCCTACATAAGAGTTCAGCATCTGCGCTGCCTTGCAGCAAGACCTTGCACAGCTTGACCCCAGGCTGGGGATCCAGCCACCTCCTCCTCCTTGCTTTGCTTGAGGCAGTTTTAAGGGAGAAATGAATGCACAGCAATCAGTTCAGCTACTTTGCCTCAATATGAATGTCAGCCAGCCCTGGTCATTCATCTGCCTGCCCTGTAGTCTCTCCTGCTAGCACTTTGGTTTGATACAAATCCTTGCATCTGCAAGAGGGTTTCTGGCAGGGCAGCCTTCCCAGGCTCCTCTCACTGACCACCAATGCCAAAAACGTTAATTACAGCACCGCAGCCTCTTCACGCTCTGCTCTTACACAGGAGCATCTATTGATGAGCTAGATAAAGGATTTACTACTCATTCTGATTCTTCTCACAAGCTGTTCCTTAACTCCACCAGTTCCCCTGGTGGAGGTTTCCCCTTTGGGCACAGCTCCGTGTTTTGCAAAGCAGCACTGAAAAGCCTCCCTGACCCTGCAGGCGGTCTTGGTTCTCTTTGGGCTTTCCCATTTCCTTGGCCATGTGGCACACATCTGCCCCGAGCCTCCGGCATCTCATCCTTCAAGCAATTCAGCCTTACCCTCCCCTGGGAAGCTGCAAAGTGGGGCAGTATGTGGAAGCAGCCCCTGGACAGGGCCTGGGAGAGCTGCGGGGTCTTTATCCCTGGAGACTTCAGAACTCACCTGGACACATCCCTGAGCTGCCTGGTCCAGCTGCGAGGCCATTGCTGCTCAGAGCAGAGCTGGCTGGAAGTGTGAGAGCTCCCTCCTAGCCAAAAACTTCCTGGGGCTTCACAGTTTGCCCATGCTTGGCAAAACCCACCTGGACCCATGCCTCCCTTGGCTTTTCCCTGCCAGACTCATCACGCTCCTGCAACACTCCCAGAGGAGTTTCTGTTCCCTGTTTCTCACCCAGCTCTTCAGAGCTACATCTCTCCTCTCCCCTCCAGCCCCTCTGGGCAGCTCCTCTCCGAGCGCTTTCAACATCAAAGTTGCCATTCAACAGTTAACCATGGATGTTTCAACACAAACTGGCTGTATCACATCCACCCCTGTTTACAGGGGTATACGCTGATCCTTGTTGCTTCCTTCAATCCCATTGCCTTCTCCTCCTGGAGGGGAAGAGGTCACCCAGCTGCGGGGATTTCAGCCCTGCCACACTGATTTCAAGCTTTCTCCAACCTTGGCCACGGCTCGCGCTGGCATTCCCACCCACGCTTCTGTTATCTGTACCCTCCATAGCTGAAAGCAGGCTGAGCTGTAAAGCAATGCAGCACTCGGACTGTGTTTGGAGCAAGGCAAGGCATCGGCCCATGAAGATAAGAAACCGGTGACTTGGGACGATGCATGATGATTAGATATTAGATTGCACAGCCTGACTGCACAGGATGTCATAGAGCAACCGCGATGAGTTTTCACACTCGGGACCTGCCCTAGAACGTCTCTGGAAAGCTCCGTACCCGAGGATCGCAAACAGAAAACTCCTGTCTGCACTGACTCACAGTTGCCACTGCCGGCTCTTCCCCCATCCCATGCCTGGCATTTCTCACTGCCCTGCGTCACCCCCGGCTCTGACATGGGGCCCCACGCTCTGGGCAGGACCTGTTTTCATTGCACAAAGGGCTCGACAGCTCCACGTGCACGACCTCAATGGAGGCACCTGACTCATGCGATGGCATCAGGGGTGCCTCCGCTACCTTAGCAAGCGAAGACGAGGGGACGGGAGCGCATTGGGAAGAGGTTGACAGATGCACGTACCTGCCTGCTCTCCTTGACCTAGTTGCCATTTCTCCACTACTGCTTTCGTGCCTGGATGCGCCTGCTGGCCAAAAGGGATTAGCTAGGGGATTAAGCTCCATGCATAGGCACCTGTTAGCCAAGAGCAGGGCACGAGGAGCCATCCCTCCCTGCAGACCAGCAGCTCCAGAGCATCAGCCAGCTCTGCTCACAGTCACACTGGGTGGTGGGCAGCCAAACCCCTCGGGCCAGATTCACCAGGCAAAGTTCACAGAGGGCAACAAACAGCTGAGCCACCCCCTGCCCTTTGGGCAGTCTCCATTTCAAGGCACCAGGTCCTACCTGTCTTTCAGGATGAAGGACAAAACCTGAGAGGTGGTTATGGTTCCCATCCCACAGAACAGTCCCATCCTTTGGATGCAGAGACATCCAACTTCTCAACACGGAGGCGAGGAGCAGAAGGTGAGGTTGAGCACGGCCAAGTTTCCTTCTACAGAAGGGCATGGACAATGATGCCTGGGGTCACAAAAGCAGGCAGAAATCCTTATAGAGCAGTGGGGCCCTGTGACAAGTGCTGTAGGACACTAGAGAACCTCCTCCAAGTGAAGAGCAGTCTTCTGGAGACACCTGGGCTTATTGCGCATCTCCAGCTCCATGCACCACCAAACTCATGGGAAACCACTAGTTTTATCCCATCTTTCCAGGTTGCCCCATCTCTCCAGGGCTCAGATTGTGCTTTAGTGTCTTTTGTTCCTACTTCATGGAACTCTGTTCGAGCAGGAAGCTGAGCTAGAGATCTCTGGAAGCCACTTTGCATCCACGCCAACCACAACCACATGCTGCGACAGATCCCCCACAACTCCTGAATCCCACGTTTGCATCTCCCAGGACGTAACATACATTGCAGTGCACCAGCTGCCTTCACAGCAACCAAGCAGGTGAAACTAAACCATGCAGCAGGCTGCACTCAGACACAACAGGATAAAAACACACTTTTTCTCTAACCCTGAGCCCCAAATCCTTAAGGGAGAGCTACAAAGTGCTTTTTAGATGAGCCCAGAAACCCATTCATAGCTCTACTTGACACCAGTGCCACGGATAACTCAATGACTGGTGGTGGTATACCATGCGTCCTCTCCCCCCACCAGCCTCTGCATGTTCCACAGGCTAAAAGCACTGACCCCATCTCATCAGGCACAACGTCCCCTGATAACTGGGCAAATTCAGCCCACAAGCACACACTTGAAGAAAAAAACCCTATGGTCCTACCTATGGTCACCAATCTCTGCCCAGCCTAGATATTTCCCACTTTATTCCAGGCTTTAAAAAAACCCTTGTGTATCAGAAAGTATTTATTTTTCCTAACTGTACTAGCTTATTCAAAGCTACCTCCTCTAGCACCTCCAGACCTTACTGCATTCAAGTCCTTGGACTGTCACATCTACAGTGCCAGAATGCAGCCGATACAGGACAATACAGGTGATCAGCTTGGTGTAAGAAAGAGCCCTGTCCTCCCCACCTCCCATTGAGTTGCGCTCATTTCATGAAGCGTTGTGTCAGACTCTGTTTTGAGTAGCATTTGCTATTTCATTTCTCTCTCCCCAGCGATAAAATGAGGCAGGGGTGGTAGCAGAGAGCAGTCAGAGCACAGATAAGGAATGACTGAGTGCCTCTGGCTTTGGGGTGGGTGGGGAATCCTAAAGGTGGAGAGGGTGAATGATACCTACTAGAGCCCAAGGCAGAAGCACAGCAAAGTTCAGGATGCTCATCTAAACCCAATCAAGATGACATGCTTAATTACTCCCCAGAACAAGGAGCCAAATACCTCTGTAGGATGCTGTGGGGATCAAGTACACCAAGTTGAAGAGACAGCCAGCCACTGACTCCTTCCCTGCAGAGAAGAAACGGCTCAAGAAAGGTGGGGGTGGACTGGGGTGTCTGGCCCCAGGGGTGTTCAGGATGCAGCTGAACAAAGCCACAGCACCCAGATCTGGTGCTGGGACAGACTTCATTGCATTTAAATAAAGGTCCTCGTAAGCACACCCTGATCTACTTCAAACCCCCGAACGGCCCCAGCTCTAGCCAAGGGAAGCACCACTCCAGAATGGCCAACTTCTCACCCTGTCCCAAAGTCAGGCCAAAAGAGAGTACAGTACATCCCCATCCACACTGGTAGCTCAGGTATTCACATGAGGGCTGAGCTGAGAGGTGCTGCTCAGACCAAACTCAGGACTGAGCTATTTCTACGGCAGACACCCCCAGGCTAGCAGTACCCCTCTACTTTGCAGAGATGCTCAAAAACAACGGAGAGTGGGAAGAAAGAAGGAAAAAAATAAAAGCAAGACTCTAAATCTGTTGCTACAAGCCAACTCAATGAAGAGCCTCTGCAGAGCCGGGATTCTCCCAGGCGCCAGCTTCGCGCTTCTGCAGTTTCCTCCACAGACCCCCGAGCCAACCCTCCCTGTGGGCACCCCAGCCTGCCCCAGCGGGACAGCCGCACCTCCAGAGCTCAGGGAGTCTCTGCCGCAGCCGGGGTGGTGCAGGGCTGAGCAGCACAGCCTCCCGCCTCACCTCACCTGGCTCCTGCCAGGCCCCAGGGAAGCGCTTGGGCACACTATAATACTCCCTTACTAGGGAGCATTAAATCAGTAATTATGTGACACATCGGGGTGAGCAAGCACCGGAGACGTCTACGCTTCCCGAGCGCCGAAGGCTGGGAAATAGTCTCGGACACCCCACAGGTGCTCAACACACAAAACCACACTGAAGTCTTTGGAAGTCACTCATGTCTTTCATTCACGGTTAACAGCTCTCCTGTGGCAGGAGAGAAGAGACCCTGCGCTTCCCCAGGTACGCACAGGCTTCTTGTGCAAGGCAAGAAACCAACCTCCCTTCCAGCCCTCCGAGGCAAAAAGCAGCCAGCTGTGGGAGTAAAAACACCACCGCAGCAAGGACAAGTCAGTTCCAGTCATTTATTCATTGCAGCATTTGAAGTACATCAGGTATTTGGTGAAGGTCCCCGGACAGACAACAGGAAGTATACTTGGTACAGTGGATTTATATAAAAAGAGAGTTAAATAGATAAAATAACATGGCAACCTCTCACTCTTGCCACAAACAGAGCAGACTAGCCTCGAGCCCAGGTTAACGTCAACAGCTTCAGTCTTTCCAGGCAGTCGTGGTTACAACCTTTTTGGTCCTACACCCGAGGGACAGCAAGGCATCTGTCCTCACAGTTGAGGCAAGGGGTGCGCTTCTCAGGCCAGCTCTTCAGGAACTGGGCTTCGGACACTGTGCGGAACCTGACTTCCAGTAAGGTTCAATCTTGTTGAGCACATCTGGAAAGCTGGTCCCAGCTTTGGTGTACGAGTGTTAAGAGCAGCCTTTCTGAAGATGAACCTTCAAGTATTTCAGGATCAGCCACAGGTAATGCATTCGAGCCATCTAGAAAGACTGGTAGAGCCAAGACGCAGGGCAGCACCCCAGACTGTTGCCTTTCCTGCACTAAGCCAGATTTAAACTACACATTTTGAGGCTGTTCCTGAACTGTGCACAGTTCAGTCATGCTTTTGGAAGACACTGCTTTGCAACCGTGTTAAGGCAGTCTCCACCTACCCTAGGCCTCCAGTTTTATGCCAGAAAAAAAAAATCCCATGCCAAAAAGTCTAAGTATTTCTCTTCAGTTTTTACATTTCCATTTTCAGGAACCGGTCACCTTCTGTCAAGAAGGAAGATAGGGTCTGAAGCCATGTGCCTGCAGAACAGCAGGCAACACAAGTAGCACCTGAATGAAGAAAGCCCATGTTACTGATATGAGACTGTTATCCCACTGAGACTGGCTTTCCTTAATCTAGGAGATCGCTGTATCTCTCTAGAGTCTCCTTCTCCAGTTCCAACAGCTTTTGGTAAAACTTCTCAGCAGTTTCTTCGTCCACATCAAGCTGGAAGACAAGAAGAACAGCACTGTGAGACCATCACCTTGGTGGCAACCAGCACAGATGCTTAGGGCAGCTCTGAGTATAGGCAAAGTGCATCTCCAGAGCTTCTACATTTACAGAGAGGCAACCGAAGACACCTATCACCAGGGCACAAGCCAGAACATATTTTGGGGAAGCATCATTACATACTCATCCTGTTCTAACCATCATCTCCATGGTCTTCCATACTCCAGCCTGAGCCAGGAGTTACTCTAGGAAACCTCGCAGATAACCCCACATCCCTCCTTGCTGCTCAGCATTCAATATGCATCTTGTTTCCATTCCAGCCACAGGACACCCTTGGCACCAACCCTTTCATGCAAGGCAGATGGCAGAACCCTAGCCAAGTCCCCTGCAGCAGGAGGCTGCCGCTCCATTTACCTTTCTGGGCTCCACATAGCTCTTCCCCAGTCCAGAAGTACAGCTGTGGTATTTGACAAGTGCATCCAGGTGCTCAGGCTTCTGTTTGAACAGCCACACCTAGGAAGAACAGCACAAATGTGTATGAGTCTAGTGCACACTGTCCCAACCGAGCCTGCGGTCAAGGACCCAGCTGTCATGGACACAGGAAAACACACCACAGGCACTTTCACCAAGCAGGGGAAGACCACTGACTGAGACGGAAGGAACAGTGTTTTTCCAAAATAATTTATTTTATGGGTACCTGATGAAGGTCATAAAGCATCACCTGGCAGATCAGCCCCGGTCACAGCTGGCCCCCCAGCACTCAGTGCTGTATGCTCCTTAGGGGTGAAATACAGCACCCACCCACCAGCCTTGCTGAGAGGCTCTTTGTTCAAGCCAGCAGGCTCTGGAAGAGCTACCCAGAAGGAAGAAATATTAAAATCAAGTCATGAACTACTTACATGAGCTTCTGCTCCATTATACGGTGTCAGAGTGTAAGTTTTGGCAAAAAAACGGATCTGAGGGGAAAAGAAGTACATGACAGAATCTGTATTGTGGCCCAAGGTTTCTTTGGCAAGCCCTCTGGAGCCCGGCCACACCACATAATCTATCTACCAGAGGCAGAAATACTTCTCAAAGTTGACTACAGGTAACACTGCACCCTTACGACTAAAGCATCCCTTTATCACCACAAACTATTTTCTGGAGCCACCCACCAGAGCAGCAAGCCTCACTCCCTGCTCCCACACGGAGCTCACCCCCAAAGCAAGAGGCCACCCATATGTCTTGCGGGCACCTCTTCTTGAATGGTCTCAAGAGCACGCACGGCAGGAGACTGAGAGGATCTGCAGTACTGCCAGTGTTGAGGACAACTGAGAAGGCAGTGCCAGGAGAAACGCGATCCGTCAGGACCAGCTGCTGTCAGCTGGGGCAGCTTAAGCAGAAAGGCCAATCTCGCAGCAAGAGCACCGAGGCTCAGAGCAGGCAGCCTTTCAGGGACAGAACTGTAGTGAACCTGAAAAGCTGAAGCCCACAGGAAGAAAGGCAAGGGAAGTTTTGGGGAAGAGGCAATAGAGAGCAGGAGATGCTGCCTTCCAGAGGGATGGAAAGAAGAACACTGAAAAACAGAGTCTGTTCTAGAAATGAACAGCACTTCAAAGCACAGAGGCCAAGTTCTGTCCTGAGCTCTGCTGCCACCAAAATGATAGGGTTTCACAAGCCCACAGCAGGCTTGCAAACCTTCTGAGGAGAGCCTTGACAAGCGCTGCTAGAGCCAGGGTTCAGCCCTTCAGCCATATGGACAGTGCAAAGCTCCAAACTCAGCTTGGAAATTTGGCCCCCAAGGTGCCGAAGGGAAGGTTTGCAGAGGGGCCAACCTGCCCAATCCAACAGAAGGAAGAGCTGTATAGCAGCATGGGTAGCAAGGAGCCAGAAGCACACTGCACGTGACTTGCAGTGAAGTATATCACAGCAGGGCGACCTCAACCCCAAACCAGCCAGGAGATCCACTTACCAACCACATGATGGGCATTAGCAGCTTCCAGAGAAAAACGGGCAAAATTCTGTAGGTCATGTTAGACATAACAAGACCAGGACAAACAACGCTGGAATACAGACCCTGCAGAGAAGAAACCGAGTCAGTGAGCAAAGACAGAACAGTTAAAGAATGGGTCATACTCCCTCCCTCCTAGTACTTCTCAGCAAGAAAATGAAGGTGAGTATAGGGACCAGTTAATAGTAGATGCTCTCCTCTCCGAAGTTACCAGAGCCAGAGGGTGATTAGATGTAGCGATTTCCGAGAGGTCTAAATTGGAAATGTTCATGCTAAATCTGTGCCCATTGCAAGCCCATGAGAGAGAAGGCGCAGCCTCCCAATGCATCACAACCTCGCTTTGCAGTCCACATGCAGCTCAGCAGCAGCAGCAGTCATCCCACAAATTACAGCCCACTCAGATCAAAGGCTACCTCACTTTTAAAAGAGACGAATTCAGCCTTCTAGGACTAAAGCATTTTCTCCTGAATGATTTCAGAAGAGTGCATTTGCTATCGCTGGACTAGGGCCGCAGCTTGCCAACAAAATCCGGCAATCCCCTGTGACGGGGAGGCAGGTTGCTCATACATCTTAGTGTGACAAAATTGAATAGCAGCATGGAGCCATCAGGAGAGACAGCAGAGCCTGCACCTCAAGTGCTTGCAGGTAAAGCAGCCTGAGCAGCCTTGCTCTGATAAGCAGGTACGCCTGAAAAGAGCAGCAGCTCTTTGCTCTTTAAGATCAGTTCTTTGGCCTAAAAAGACAGCTAGAGCTTGCAAGGTAGGGACCGCTCCTACAATCTTCTGCTTTCACAAGTTTTTCTGACAAGAACCCCAGAAGCAATCTCTGGCAGATTCTCCACCAGCACCAGCTGAAACTCAGCCATGTTTAGTTCTTACATGGGCATTAAGGAACTTATCATATTGCTATGAATGAATGCAACTAGGTAACAACAATGTAATGATAATTATAAATAGTAGGAGCTCATTAGGTTTCTTCAGACATGCAAACCCCATCATCACCTGCTTATTAAATTTCCTGTTCAGAACCACACTTGTCAGGTCAGTAGCATATTTGGAGGAACTGTATGATTCCCGTCCCTTGGCATGTTGATAGTCAGAAAGGCTGAAGGCAGACTCCCTGGCATTGCTGGAAGAGGTCCAGATGAGTCGTGAGGGCTTTTCGTTACCGCAGAGTAGACACTCAAGTTGACGAACCTGCAAAATAATTGTTAACTTATTTGATGCAGTAATTTTAAAGTCTTGCAGTATAACTTTGCAGTTTTTAAAAGTAATGAGCTTATCTCAGCTTTCCTAGTCTTGGCCAATCTTCACTAGACTAGCCAGAAGCAGCCGCTGCTTAGGTGTAACTTCTAGCCCAAGGTCCACCAGGAGAATTTACAAGCAGCCACCATTCTCTTACACAGCTCAGTTGAGCACCTCAGAATTTAATATAGCCAACTCTTGGTATTCACCCTGGACAGAGGGAACTACGTATGGCATACCTCCGTCCACTGACTAACCAGAGTAACCTCAAGATTATATTAACCCTTGCAACAACAACTATCACCATTTATTGCTATTTTAACAAAGCCCAAGATCTTTGTCCCATCATTCCTTATCTGTCAGGCTCCAGCTTGCATCAGCATCCAAACCTGTAAGACAGAACTGATTCATCTGTACCACCTGCACCCATCCCTACTCACGTCAACCGCCAGACCAAGGGCTCAATCTTCATGCGCAGTCTCACCAGGATAAAGTGTCCGAAGAGGTTGGTAGCAAACACCTCCTGCAGTCCATCTCCATTAAGCCTGTCCGTCTGGGTCATTATGCCTTCTGCAGTGGTCAGCATGTGAAGCACCTTCCTGGAAGCCAAAGACAGGAGTTAGAGAGGAACAGTGCCAGGAGGCCTCTATGGCTCCCCCACTTCAGTCCTTCAGAAGTAACACCCACTTCACAGGCTCCAGACAGACCTTCTAGTTTCACCTTCAGGGGCTCCATTAATTCGTGAAAAAAAAGGCTGGAAAAAGTTCACAGAGTACCCAAGCCCCTTTATTTGCAGGTGTCTCAATATTGACTAGACCAGAGAAGACTTGTCCCTTCCTTCACTTCACCACAGTAAAGTACCATTAAAATAAAAAAAAAAAAAAAGTCTTGCTCTTCCATTTCACATTCAGATAACAGAATCAAGCTCCAGCATGGAACTAAGCCCTAGGGTCATGCCTAATTCAGATAAGGCAAGCAGTCTAGCATCTACGTTCAACACCCCGACAACTGTATCGGACTCAACGCAAGTCACTTTTCTCCCTAGCGCAGCTTCCCCACGTTGCTTACAGAATAATGATGTTTATCCCCCACGGTGCTTATAGAACAAGCGCCAACTATTTAGTTTCATGAAATACCACGACCCGCAGCCTCGAGCGACTACAAAAACCTCCAGCGGAGCCAAACCAACAGTAAGGAGACCCAGTAAGAGCAAACGACCTCCCCACCACCACACCAGTGCTTTCCACTCGGCCCCCAGCGCCAGGCACCGCAGCCTTTGGGCGAACCCCCGCCCCGCTGCAGGGATCAGAAGCGGCACAAGGTGCCTCGGAGCACCTCGGCGCTTCGCCCAGCTGCCAAGCCCACCCCACTCGAGGCCACGCATCCCACGGGGATGTGCTCCGTGTCACCCTGGGGAACGGGATAGGGTCTTCAGCCCCGGACACGAGGACACGGCTCGGCCGCGGTGATGCTGCCGGCACCCCCCGCTCCCTGCGAGCCGTGGACCAGTCCCTCGCCCCCGCTATCTCGTACCCGGTAAGGAGACCGTGCCAGAGCGCCTTGAAGTTCACGTGTGGGTTAGGCATGATCCCGGCGTTGAGGTAGACAAAATCCAGGCGCTGAAACCTGCGTGGGG